TTCATTTATATTGATATTGTCTTGGAATTTCCTGTAGGCTGCCTCAGATAAAATAATTCCCAGCCGAATCTTCATCTTGTCTGCTCTCTACTTTGACATTATGCCTTCAAAATCAAATCTTATTATTTAATCCAAAACAAAAACACTTTATTACAGAATATTAAATCAATAACATTAACAGACTGACCTTGGTAATTCATTTTACCATGATTGATAAGCCAATGTTTAAACTTTGACTACTGATACTCAAAGCTTTGCAAATTTATTCCAGACTATTCATAATTGAACAAGATATCCTAACCGCCTCACAGAGAAATCACTATCCAATTACTTTGTGTCTTAGACCAAGTCAATACTTTACTTTCTCATTTTTCAAATAAACTTACAGCCAAAATTACAATACGACTGATTGTAAAGGCCAAACATTTTACCTTCCCTCTGTTTCATTCCCATCATCTTCCTGAGCTGGTGCCTGTGAAAATATGCTAAGCCCAAAATAGCAGTTGTGCACTGCCAATTCAGCCTCAGTCATTTCCAAGCCAAAGGGGAATTGACAGAAACCCCCTTTACAAGTCTAGTGTTTGTAAATATCCAATGAAATTACTTCATCCAGTCAATTATTTCTGGAGAAAGCTGGCAGAATAACATGGTAATTAAACTGAGGACTGGTGGAAACTGTTAAACAGGAGAGGTATTTTGCTGAGCAGTTCTAGTTAATGCTTTTAATGCATTTTCACTTTTAAAAAAATGCTTGAGATACTAGTACAATTAAAAAGGAATTGCCTCTTCATATAGATCAATGGAACAGAAGAGAGAACCAAGAAATCGACTCAAGCCACTATGCTCAATTAATATTTGACAAAGGAAGCAAGAGCATACAATGGAGCAGAGATAGTCTCTTCAATAGATGTTGTTGAGAAAATTAGATACAGGCAAAAAAAAAAAAAAAAAAACCACAAAAAAACCTAGACCCCCACCTTACACCATACACAAGAATAAACTCAAAATGGATAAAAGACTTAAATGTAAGATATGAAACCATAAAAGTCCTAGAAGAAACCATAGGCACCATAATCTCAGACATCTCTCACAACAATATGTTTACCGATACATCTCTTAGGACGACGGAAACTAAGGAGAAAATAAACAAATGAAACTTCATGAAAATAAAAAGCTTCTGCACTCCAAAGAAATCATCAACAAAATAACAAGAGGGGCCATTACATGGGAGAACATATTTGCCAATGATACATCTGATAAGGGGTTAATCTCGAAAATATATAGGGAACTCATACAGCTTAACAAAAGGAAGACAAACAATTCAATTAAAAAATGGGCAAAGGACCTCCAAAGTGGACATACAGAAAGCCAAGAGACATATGAAAAAAATGCTCAAAGTCACTAATTATCTGAGAGATGGAGGTCAAAATGACAATGAGATATCACCTCACATCTGTCAGAATGGCTATCAACAAATCAACAAACGACAAGTGTTGGCAAGGTTGTAGAGAAAAGGGAACCCTACTACACTGCTGGTGGGAATGCAGACTGGTGCAGCCATTATGGAAAACAGTATGGAGTTTCCTCAAAAAAATTAAAAATGGAGCTCCCATTTGACCCAATGATCCCAATTCTAGGAATATATCCTAAGAAACCTGAAACATCAGAAAGAATATATGCACCCCTTATGTTCATAGCAGCACAATTTACAATAACTAAGATTTGGATACAGCACTTAGGCTGAGGTACATGTACACAATGGAATACTATGTGCCAATAAAAAAGAACTCTTACCATTTGCAACAGCATGGATGGACCTGGAGAGTATTATGCTAAGTGAAATAAGCCAGTCAGAGAAAGATAAGTATCACATGATTTCACTCATATGTGGAATCTAATTAACCAAATAAATGGATGTACAAAATTAGACCCAGAAGCATGAACAGACTGTTGAACCTCAAAGGGAAGGCAGGGGAGGGTGGGTGGGAAGAGATCAACCAACGAACTTGTACGCATATATGCATAACCCATGGACAGAGAAAAATGAATGGGGTGGTGAGAAAGGGGTTGGGGGAGGAATACGGGAGTGGGCTGGAAGAGGTTAATGGGAGAAAAAGGGGGACCTATTTAATACTTTCAACAATAAAGATTTTTTTTTAAAAAGGAATTGCCTCTTCACTGGAAAATATATTTTTAAAACTCCAGTGAAGATTGTGCATGGAAAAGGAAGGAGAAACTCAGTTTTTCAGTATCTTCTTAGAGTCAGAATTTATTTTAAGTATGATGAATTCTGAAATCAAAACACAACTGTATCCAAATGTAAGTAGAAAAGACATCCTAAAGCCAGAACATCATGCAGTGAAGACTCAAGTGCCTGTGTGCTAGGTATTCACTGTCTGTAGCATATTTTTGCCCTATCCAACTTTCCATTGGCTCCTCCAATGGGCAACCCTTTCCTTCCTTCATTCAAAAAACTGAACCCCTCAGGCATTGGTCTAGTTATGTCTGCTGTAGCCATAAACAAAAATACTTTACCACATACTTCTCCCAGGTGCCTAATGGTTATGCACTAGGAGACAGAGCAAAGTTCTCAGACAAAGTAACAAACTGGAATCCAAAAGCTGATAGGAAAATCTCTGAAGGCTTCCCAAAGTAAAATACAAGCTGTTGCTTGTATCACTTCCTTTTTCAAAGACTCCTGCATACAAATAAACACCATCTTTCCTAGTGGATACAAAGGTTACAGAAAAAGGGGGAAACTTTCAGGCTGTTAATGGAATAAGAGAAGTTGCTGGAAAGTTCCAAGGTGGAGTAAAATTGGGTGAGTTAATAACTAAAAACAGCTTCTGTAACACTTCACAAATACTTCTCATTTCTCTTTGTCAGAATACACGATATTTCACTTATGAAAGATTCCACTGGATGAGAAAGCACAATCTTTTAAAAATGCAAATAACACAGGGTGTAAAGTTAAGAACTGTCAGTCATTCACACTCTGCTCGTATGAGCTACACAAGAACTTCAAGGAATGTTTTCCAGGGGAATACTATGAAATCAGAATGGCAGGGCAGTTAAGATCTCAGATTCTAGAGATGTACTGCCTGAGTCTGAGTCCTAGCTGCATCACTCGCAAGCTAGGCAAGTTTGCACAACTAAAAAACTAACACCTGAGGCCTGTGTCATACAAGGGGGCAAGATCCAAATTTATATCACAAATTGAAAAAAAAATGACCTAAATCTGGTTTAAAGCAACTGAAATTTCCAGAGCCCAGGAAAACCAACCTGTAGAGACAATCTCTCAACCCAAGGTACAGAGAACTCTCATAGAACAAAGAACTTTTTTGAATTTAATCTCCCAACAAAATATTATACACCATTTGGAGAAACCCATTCCCCCTGAGAGCCAACAGACTTAGAACCTTGCAAACTACAAATTACAATTTTACACAAATGATGTTATCTTTTACTATAATCTTGCTCATGCTTTTGTTCTCATTCAGGGCTAACAAAAACCTTTAAAAATACCATAATACTGCATCCATGTCTATTAAGAGTATTGGTAATTCTGGAAATTCACCCCTTGAGCTAAAGAAAATCCATGTATAAAATGTAACATGGGGCATACAACTTGGTTCATTTTTATTAGATGAATTAGATGGTCGGAATCTATAAATGGGAAAATGAATTAACTACCAGACTGCTACCCATCCCCATCTATTACTTTGAAGCTAATCTATATCTTACATTAATAGTTTACATTTAAAAAACTGGATTAATGTCTCCTCCAATCCTTTTGGGTGGCATTAAAAATCTTAAATTTGGGGGAAATGAGTCCACATTTAAAAAGAAGCGCTTGTGCACCTAGAGCTCAGAAACCACTTTTAAATTTAAAAGCTCCAAGTTTATAAGGGAAATTCCTTTCCCTTCTGACCACTTATCTAAATCTGAAATACTTATTTCAACCCATTTCTTTGTGTGGTAGTTTCAATCTACTCCTTCATTTCTATTTGTCTAAAAATATTGACACATTAGTGTCGAAAGTCTCTTTGGCTTACATTTAACATCTTAAAATGTTTGCCAAAATAAACATATTTTTTAAATGCTAAATATGAGAAATATGGAAAATGTAATAACTGGTCTTTTAATCACCCTATGTGTTTTGTTTTTTTTTTTTTTCAACGCTTGCATCTTTTAATCTTCGAAATGTTACTAAACATGAGAATACGGGAACCCGGAGAGGTCAAGTGTCCGAGGTAGAACCAGAACCATGAAAGCAGGACTTCAGGCTGGGGGAGCCTCAGGAATGTTTGCCCACCCTCCGGGGCTGTTTCCCATTGCCTTCTCGAACCATAAAAACAGAAGAGGCCATTTCTAACGGGGGAGATGTGGACATCTCTTAGGAGAAAGGTTGCAGAATAGCAAGAATAATTCATAAAATATCAAGGACACAACCCAGTCACAGACCTCGGAGACGCTACAGAGACCTTGTTAAATGTCTCTGCTCCCTTTCCACTAATTAAACCCCAGTTCTCCGAAATGTACCTTCATAATTAAACACCTAAACCTGAACATTCTCTCGAGTCAACCTGCAGGGCAATTTCAGCGAAGTTTGGAAAGGAACCGCTACAAGCCACAGAGCACACACCTCGAGACCACTAGGTAGAGGGCTCCGCCCCAGGGAACTGAACGAGGACCCCCGACCCCCACCCCCAGGTAGTTTTGTCCGCCCTTTCGCGCCACCGACTCGTAGCCACTTCCTAACTGCCTGTTTATCTACACCCTGACCCCCCTTGATATTTGTCCCCTTATCTGTTGAAGTTATTAACCAAACGATGATAAGATACGGGAGAGAGAGGAGAGTCAGCTCAGGGAAAAGGAATGTCTGCGTAGCCAAGATTTCCTTAGGCAGTTTGTCCGGCACTGCCGTGGGCAGCCTTAGACGGAAGAGGGGGCCTTGGGTCCAAAGCTCGACGCACCGATTGGTTGATCGGCCGCTGCCGGGAAGAACCCGGATGTGCCTGAGTAGTCCGTGTTGGCACTCGGGACTCTCAAGTTTGGGCATTCTAGGGGTGCTGGCAGCCCGGACGGATGGCGCAGGGCTGGGCTGGCTTCTCTGAGGAGGAACTGAGGCGACTAAAGCAGAGTAAAGGTAACAGGACGTGCCGGCGGAGATTGAAATCTTGGGTCTGTTAGGAGAAGGGGCGGGGCTGCTGCTTTTGAGGGGAAGGGGGCGGGGAAGGGGATAAGGTGTTTGTGTTGGGGGATGGATCTGTAAATGGGAAGACAGAATTGAGGGGCTCCGGAAGTCGACGAACTGGGAGCCGTGGGGGGGTGGGGGCGGCGGGCTCAGGGGCCTGGGATCTACTTTTAGAAAAGAGAGGTCAGGGATCCATTGCAGGGTTTGTTTGTTTTTTCCTGGGAAAGGAGTGGGACCTGGGAGAGGGGGCTGGGCCTATAGCCTGGCGGGCTCATATAGGAAGATTGCGGTGTAGATCCATGGGTGGAGAGTAAAGGAAGGAGGAGGGTCACTCACCCTATTAGAATTGTGATGAATTTATGAGCAAAGGGGAACACGGGGGTCTTAATGCAAAACGTCGGTGCTTTTCATAATACATCTGGAGTCTTGCATTCACTTCTGGTTGCCAGATGATTTTTGCTGTTCTTTCCAACCCAGAGAGTCAGCAAACCAAAGGGGTCTTTGAGAGGTTAGATGTGATATAAATAAGTATATATACATATATATGTGTGTATATATATGTGTGTGTGTGTGTATAGACATATATATATATAGACACACATATATACACACAAATATATATGTATATATATTTATGTGTGTGTGTGTGTCTATATATATACACATATATGTATATGATATCCAGAATTTTGTCATTCCCTCTCTGGCTTTATAGAGTAATCGCTGAATGGACTTGTACTATTTTGTTATCTTTTAGTAAAGGAATTAAGTTTGTTGATACTTGGTGAGAACTCTTGGTGATAAACGAGGCTTTGTTGGTGGTTGAAGTTTCATAAAATTCTGTTTGGTGATCCCGGTAATGCACACAACTTCTGTGAGTTTCTACTACTCTTGGTACACAGCTTACTGTACTTTGGGGGAAAATGAAAACCCTGTCATGCCTTTTATTAGAGTTTTTTTTGAGAAAATTGCATGTTGCTCAGATAGGCCGGTGCATTTTTTAGTATAGATGTGAGGATACTCTAGGATTGACAATCAGAAAAGGAAGTAAATTAGTAACATAGGGCCAGTGAAGATTAATAGATTGAGGAAAATTTGACTGGTCCAAAGGGCTTTAAAAACTATATCATGAAAGTCATACTACAGTGTTTAATTAACTGACTCTATCTTGCTTGATGTTATCAAATTCTCTTGCTCTGTGTTTTCAACATCCATTCACTTATTCAGATGTACAGTGTGGAAGTACGTCTGCTTCTTGTCTGACCTGAAGTTAAAGACATGGGCTTCTGCATTTAGGATGCAAAGATGAACATGGCCTCATCCCTGCCTCCAAAGAGTTTCTAGTCTACTGAGGAGACAAACTATAAAAAATGTGATAGTAGATGTTGTTCAAGAGCTTGCTACCTCTGAGCAGGAACCTCACACTGCTGGGGGTTGGGTGCACTTTGGGAAGATATCACAGAGATTATGTGTTAGGAGAGGTGACTTTGCTGGGGGAAAGAAGACTTCATGTAGAAGTCTAAATTAAATAACAGATTGATTATGTAGAAGAACATTTTTAAATAGCTCTGCAATTTGGGATAGAGTGGGAGGACCTTAATTTCAAAGCGTATCATTTCATAGCCAGATGTTAGAACATAGACACCAACTGACTGGTCTGTGATCCTTGAAGAAGAGAAAAGATGCGTCTTTGCATACATATAGCATCTTTGTATACTCATAACCATACACAGTGATTGTCAGATAATCTAGCTCTGCATCTGAATCTTTTTGCCTTGGATTTCTCATTTGTAAAGCTGGAAGAGCTGGATCTTTACTTTTTGAGGTTTCTTCCAACTATTCTCCAGCCATAAAATTATAATTAAATAACCTATGAAAATGAAGTTGGTTGCCAGCAAAAATAAGGATAACAACGCTAGCAAAACCCATATGTGCAATGGTGGAGATTGAGAATGTTCTCAACACTCTTCATTATAATATTGAAAATCTGGGACTAAACCAAGTGTTCATTAACAAGGAAGTGGATAAATAAATTGTGGTATAATCATCCAGTGGACTACTATATAGCTAGTAGGAATATATGAACACATGCATTAACACGTATAACTTTCATAAATACAATGTATGAAAAGAGCAAGTTGCAGGAGAATATATAGTCTGATACCATTTATGGAAGGTCAAAATCATATAAAGCCTGTATATTTTAGGAATATAGGAGGTCTATAAAGAAAGTCAAGGGAATGAAACACAAAATTCAGGGTTGGGGGAAGCAAGGAGTGGAACATAGGAAGCTTCAAAGGTAGTGGTACTTATGAAATTAATTACCAACTTAAGCGGCAGTAATAGCCCTAACATATCAATTGTGTAAAAAAAATAAAGGTTTTAAAAAATTTTTATTCCAGCTTTCTGTCTAACATGGGTTGGCAGGTGACTCTACTCCATATAGTCACTCCACACAATGCCTTGGTACTGTCCTATAGGAGTTCACCATGGCAAGAGAAGATTGAGAAGTAAGCATTGGCAATAAATACTTCCACCAATAAATGACATGTGTCACTTCTATTTCATTTAGCAAAAGCAAGTCATATGACTTGCGAGACAGGAAATACAGTTATTGTGTGTGTTCCAAAAAGGGGGTAATGCTCTATCCTTAAACAGCAATTATATCTACTGTAGCCATGTTTTATTTGTTAAACTGTGTTGTATTTTTATAATCCATACTGAATAGAGTTTGTGTGTGTGTGTGTGTGTGTGTGTGTGTGTGTGTGAGAGAGAGAGAGAGAGAGAGAG